AATACAAATTGTAAAAAAAAAAAAAAAAAAAAAAGTGAAACATTTAAATACATAAGCATTTGTGCGCATGAATATATACATATGTATACATTTTATTTTTTTAAGAAATAAATATTTTTAAAATTTAAAAAATTGTATTTGTAAGTTTTCATTTTCTTTATTTTTATATTTTTTTTTGTTAATTTCATTTTTCTTTTTTTTTAATATCTATAATGCAATATTCAGCCTAAAATGTAATTGTATTTTTTAAATTAATTTTAAAAAAAAAAAAAAAAAAAAAAATTTACTAGGAGTATGGAAAAAGATTATTCAATTGCTAAAATTAAAATAAGATAATATTTTTTTTATGAAAACGATAATGATAAAAAAGTTGAAATAATAGATATTATAAAATATAGCGATATGTATAGAGTAGAAAAAAGTGATAATAAAGAAAAATTGAAGATAGAAGAACATTTTAAGATGGAGAATAAAACAATAAATAAGGAAGTAAAAGATAGTCAAAAAAATATTACAAATGAAAATTCAATAATTAAAAGAAAAAGCGATGAATTTATGAATAATAAAAAAAGTATTAATTTATTAAATGAAGAACATTTAAAAATTGATAAAATTTGTGAAAATAAAGAGGAATATAAATTAACACAAGAAAAAAATGAATTCGAAATAAATCAAAAAGATATATTACAGGATAAAAGTTCATATATTGAAATTAATTATAACATAAATAAAGAAACAAATTATGCAGAAAATACAAAGAACGAAAAAAATGAAGAAATAAAAAACAGTAAAAATGAAGAGAATTTTAAGGATAACAATGAATTGGATACAATTGAAAAAAAAGAATTATATAATAATATATATGAAAAATATAATAGTGTAAAAAATAATTCATTTAGCTCAGATAAAAACAATCAAAAAAATGATATAAAATGTGTTAATGATATAAAAATTGATAATAGTTCAATGATTAAAGACAACAAAGCAATAACTAAAAACTATATTAAAAATATAGATATATTTAAGTATAACGAAAAAGAAAAAATAATAGAACTACATAAAAATGATAAAAATACAAATATAAATATATATAAACGTATGTATCAATCATACATTCTTTTAAAAAGAGAGCACACAGAATTAATAGAAGAAAATAGAAAAAAATTAGAGACAAATAAAAAATTAAAATATGAATTAGAAAATTTAAAAAATAATAATTATTATTCTAACTTCTTTTTTAAAAATGATTCCGATAATCTTTTTGATGATTTAGCATCAGGATTTACCAATATTTTGAAATGGATAAATATGGAAAATAAAATTGTTCAAAAAAATCATAGTGGTAGTCAACAAAATAATGATTTTTTTTTTCAAAATAATAAAAATTCAGAGAATAATTACCAGAAGATTTCTTCAAATAAAGTAAATATGAAAAAAAAAAAAAAAAATTTATATCTAAAACAAGAAAGAATAATAGTAAATAATGACCTAAATAATAAAAAAAAAAATTTCATAAAAATTGAAAATTATAATAAAGAAATACAAAAGTTAGATATAAAAAATACAATTAATACAAATATACATGATAAATTAAATAAAAATGATATATTAAAAAAGGATACTTTTAAAAGTGCTAGTGATAATATTATTCATAATAGTAATATTTCTGAAAACGCTGCAGATATAAAAAGCATTACTAAAAAGGAAATAAAGGATAACAATATTAATAATAAAAATATAGATAAAAACTTAATGAAAAATGATAAAAATATAAATGATGAAAGTATTAATAATGAAAAAGATATTGATAGAAATTTGATAAATAAAGAAAGCTTTATATTTAATGATAAAGTCGACAGTGATAAGAACATAAGTAAAAATATTAAAAAAAAAGAAAGTTTTACAAATAATGAAAATACTATTAGTGATAATAAAAATGTAGATAAAAGTTTAATAAGTGATAAAAAGTTAGAAGAAAGTAATAACTCTCTTCATTTATATGATAATATGTATGAGAATAATGAAGGCTTTGAAAGAATTAAAAATTTAGACAAAATTGAAAATACAGAAAAAGATAATAACACAGAAGAAATAATAAATTCCTTAAGAATCTCTAAAAAAAAAGAAAGAATTCCAACATTTGATAATAGTAAAGATCGTAAAATAAAAAAGAATTCTTTTTTGTGGCAAAAGGAGAATGTATTTAAAAAAAAAGAAATTAAACATTATTATAATAAAGAAATCGAAAATTCAAAATCAAAATGCATTTATAAAGAAAATGATTCTTTATTACAAAATGATTCAATAAATGAAAATATTATTGATTGTATAAAAAAGAAATTAAATGATAGAATTAGAAATATGAATAACATAACAAGAGGTGGTCCTACAGAAAAATTTATATTCCATATATGCAATTACAACGAAGATAAATATATTCCTTTAAATTTAAATAATTTTTTTTTAATTAATGAAAATCTTCATTCAGATATAGATCTAAGTTTAAACCATTTAAAAAATATTGATTTTATTTTTAAAAAAAAAAAAAAAAAAAATTTAATTAATAAAAGTAACAATATAAAAAAAAATATTCTAGTTAATGCTTCGAATGATAGAAATATAAATATGTGTCCAAATTTAACCAACTATTCAAAAAAAAACAACATAAATAATATGAAGGCATTAATGAATAAAAATAAAAATTCATATGATAATGAAATAAAAATTAAAAACACATATAATAATTATTCTATAAAAAAAAAGAATTACATCTTTAAAATTTATGATAAGAATTGTAATTACGAAAATAATGAAAATTCGAAAGAGAAGAATTTTTTTTTTTTGACAAACATAAAGGAGAAACATTTTTACGTAGTTAATAAATCAAGTGAAAGTATGATTAACAAGAATTTTAAGAATTTTAAAAATAAAGTAATGAACAATATGTGTATAACTATTCAAAAAGAAAATTTTAATTTTATAATTAATAGAATAAATGCTATAGAAAGAAAGAGAAAAAAAAATAACCAAATAATTAAGTATAAATTTAAGTTAATTAAAAATGAGAAAAATGAAATATTGTTATATCAATTAAAAAAAAATTTCAATTATGGAATTATTTTTACTAATGTATTATCAAATACCAATCCTTTTTGTAATAAAACAAATTTTATGTTTAGAAAAAATAAGTTTCTACTTTATAAGAGTATAATAAATAATAGAAATAAAAAGAGATATTCCTTAAAAAAAAAAAAAAAAAAAATAGAGATTGGAAATATTTTAAAAGGAAATGCAGATAAAGATAATAAAAATTTCATAAATAATTTAATTTTAAATTATGATAAAAAAGACATTTATAAAAATGATAACCAAAACTTTAATGAAAATAACATCAATAAAATAGAAAATGCATATAAAATTGACTATGAGGAAGAATATAAAATAAATAATTATGATAAAAATGAAAATATTAAAAGACCTATGAAGAATACAAAAATTGATGATGCAGATAGAATTACAATAAAAGTATCAGAAAGTAATTCTAATAATGAAAAAATTATAAATATAAAAGAAATGAATCAAGAAAAAGGTGAATCAAATAATATAAATGAAAAAATAAACGTTTCAAAAAATGATGTAATAGATAAAAAAATAGAAAACTATATATTTGAAAATAATATAAATATTCCAGCAAACAGTGAAATTTTAATACAATTCAAAGAGTTATTAAAAGAACATATAAAATCACTGAATATTTTAAGTAAAAAAATTGATAAAATAGAAAACGAAAATAACTGTGAAGTAATAATTATAGGAATAAAGCTCATATTAAATGATAAACATATTTATCTCTTAGTTGATGCATTAAATAGTATAGAAAATATAGTATGTAAATGGATTAATAAAAATAAAGAAATAATTAAAAATTATATAAAAAATAACTCTAAAATTTATAACTTCTTTAATTATTATCATATAAATTTATATATTTTTTTTTATAACCTTTTAAATATTCTAGAAGATTATATTGAACAATTTCCTTTTTATTTTTCAATTGTATTGGAAGATTTGTTCTATATATCTTAATAAAAAACTAAAAGACAGTATTTTAAAATATAAATTGATTTTTTTTTTTCTTTCCCTTTTTTTTCTTTCCTTTTTTTTCTTTCCCTTTTTTTCTTTTCCTTTTTTTTCTTTCCTTTTTTTATGTACAATAAAATACAATAATGTTATTATTCTCTATTATTTACAATTTTAGTTTCATTTGAAATTTTTTTTTTTTTGATTTTAAGTCAGTCTCAAAATATATGCATTTTATGTTATGATAATTTATTTTTGTTTTTTATTTTTTTGTATTATATAAACTCTAAAAAAAAATGTGTATATAAATACATACATACCATAATTATTATTTTAATAATTCTTAATTTGAAATTAAATATTCATTTTATTTTATTTTTCTTAATAGTGTTCATAGGCACTTATATGCAGAGAAAAAAAAAAAAAAAAAAAATTATATATATATCTAGTAATATAAATTTATATTATATAAATAATATTATAGGACCTTTATAAGATCTAGATAATTTATTTCATTCTACTTTTTTTTTTTTTTTTTTTTTTTTTTTTTTAAATAAGATATACTTATGTTTAAAGCTTTTTAATATGTGATAAAAAATATATATATATATATATATATATATATGTAAAAATATAGAAATATATGATTAGACATAAAAAATATGAAATACATTATTATTCTTAATTTATTTCTTCTTTATTTATATAATGGACGAAAAAATTATTTTGAAAAAATATTTTCTTTTCCTTTAATTTTGGAAAATGAAGAAATAACAAATATAAAATATAAAATTTTAGTGTATAAAAAAAAAGGGTATAGTAGAATATTATATGGGTTTTTTAGAAAGCATAGAAAAAAAAAAGGCAGTAGCAGTAGAAAAAAAAAAAGACTAGAAAATAGAAAAAAAAAAAAACAAAGAAGAGAAAGAAAAAAAGAAGAAAAAAAAAGAAGAAAGGAAGAAAGAAAAAGAAGAAAAGAAGAAAGAAAAAGAAGAAAAGAAAAAAAGAAAGAAGAAAAAAAAAAAAAAAAAAAAAAAAAAAAGGAAAAAAAAAAAAAAAAAAAAAAAAAAAGAAAAAAAAAAAAAAAAAAAAAAAAAAAAAAAAAAAAAAAAAAAAAAAAAAAAAAAAAAAAAAAAAAAAGAAGAAAAAAGGAGAAAAGAGAGAGAGAAGAAGAAGAAAGGAAAAAATTAAATATTCAAGAAAGCAGAACTGAAAATGAAGATGGGAATGATGAAAATGAAGAAGAAAACGATATTACAAATGAAAGACGTAAATATAATAATGGTGATATTTCACAAAATAGAAGTATGAGTCAAAATGAAGCAAATTACCAACATGAGAATCTCTATACAAGAGATGAACCCATGAATTCATTTCATACAAACAACAGAAGAAACATAGAAGCTGAATCAAATAGTTTTACAAATAAAAATGAAAGAAATTTGAATTATTCAAATAATGGATATGATAATACAGTAGATCAAAATGAAAATATTGTAATAAATTTCAATAAATTAGAACATGAATCTAAGGGAGAAATTTTAAGAAAAATTAAACATGCTGTAGAAATGTTGCAATAAAAATGTAATTCAAAATTTTATATTTTTTGGTTATTTTAAAATATTTACTTAATGTTGTTTTTTTTTATTGTTATTTTTATTTGATATTGTAATAATTTTTATTATTTATTATTTTTATAATTGTTATTATTTATAATTATTACTTCTATTATTTTATAATTAATTATGTAGTCTTTATGTTATTTATTGATGCCTTTTTAAAATATGATGAATTTAGTTTTTCATATTTTTTTATTAATTGTAATTATTTATTTATTTTTTTTTTTTAAATATTTTATTTTTTTATTCCAACATTGTAAACGATTTAATATTTTTTTATTTCAGTTTTTATCATTTTAATTGTGTTTAATTCTAAAAAACGCAATTTACTTTTTTATTATAAATAAATAAATTGAAAATATATATATATATGCATTTAAAAATTGTTGTAGAAATGTTATCTTATATGCTTTTATTTTTTCTTGATATTTAAAAGAAAAACAATAAAAGCATTGATAATTAATTTCTTTAAAATTAAGATTTTTTTTTTTTTATTTTTTTATTTTTTTTTTTTTTTTTATTATTATTATTATTTCAATATTTCTATAACTTTCCAGTTATTTTATTTGTGTGAGTAAATTTAATATAAAAATATAATTTCTATATTTATCAAAAGATAAATACAAGTATAACATAAATATACATATGATATGAATAAATATAAAAAGAAAATGTTTTAAAGTTATGGAATCATTCTCATATTAAAAGAAAAACTTTTTATAAATTAAAAAAATTAATTGAAGATAACATATATAAATAAGATAAAATATTGTGAAATATTTTATAAAAAAAATATAAATGTAATAACTAAAATTTGAAGAACATTTGCTTTTTTCATCTAATTTTTTTTTTTTTATTTCATCTTTTTTAACATTAAGAAAACATAAATAGAAAAAAAAAAAAAAATTTAATAAAGAATATATGGAAATATATGAAAGTTACAATATTAATGTTCTTTTCATAGAAAAAAAAAAAAAAAAAAATTTTAAAACTACCATGTATTGAAAATTAATTGAATACAAATAGATAAAAATTGCAAATTTATTAATCTTTTTATTTAATTGATAGAATATTTAATGGAGGAAAAAAGAAAGCATCATAAAAAAAAAAAAGTTGGCAAGAAAATCAAAAAAAAAAAAATTAACAAAAATGTAAACAAAAAATATCATAAAGCATTTGCATTTAGTGGTGGTATTAAAAGTGCTCATAGAAGAAAACAACATTTATTTGAATTAGAAGAAAAAAAATTAAGAATCCCGAGAGTTTTTAAGGAAGGAAATAAAAACAGTCCATTAGTTGTAGTAATACAAGGTTCTAAGGGTGTTGGAAAAACTACATTGTTAAAAAGTTTAATTAAATGTTATGTTGGTGTAAATATTAATGAAATAAATGGTCCTATATCTGTTTATACAAAAAATAAAAAAAAATATACCTTTATTGAAGTAAATGATGATATTTTGAATATGATTGATGTAGGAAAAATTGCTGATATATGTATACTAGTGATTGATGGTAGTTTTGGGTTCGAATTAGAAACACTAGAATTTCTAAGTATCTTGAATACGCATGGAATGCCTAAAGTATTAGGCGTTGTTACAAAATTAGATAAATTTAAAGATAGTAAAAGTATAAGAAAAAGAAAGAAAAAATTAAATAAAAGATTTTCAGAAGAACTAGTTGAGGGTTCGAAATTATTTTTTCTTAGTGGTATACAAAATAATAAATATAACAAAACAGAAATTCGTAATTTATGTAAATTTTTATCAGTAATGAAGAAACCAATAATATCTTGGAGAGAACAGCATGGATATTTGGTAGGTTTACGATTAGATATTGATGAGTTTTCTAATGAAATTACAAATGAAAATAATAGCAATCATTTTAATGATATAAAAAAAAATAATGATGAAGAAAATGAAAAGGAATTAACATCATTTTTATCTAATTGTAACGAAAATATACGTGTTTATATAGAAGGTTATGTATATGGATCAAAACTTTACAAAAATCAAAATATTCACATCACAAATATTGGTGATATAAAAATAGAAAAAATAGAAATTTTACAAGATCCTTTTAAAATTGATGAAGAGAAAAAAAATCCAAATATTTACGCACCTATGTCTGATATTGGAAATATAACATTTGATTTTGATAACATGTATATTCATATACCAAAAAATAAAATAAATTTTACGAAAAGAGAATTATTAATTGGGGATGACAAAGAAAAATTAGGATTAGAAGAAGATGAAGAAGAAAAAGAAGAAACAGAAGATGAAAATAAAATGAATAGTAAGTATGACAAGGATGATGATAAAAGCGATGATGAGAGTGACAATGAAGATGATGATGAAGATGAGGATGATGATGAAGATGAAGATGAAGATGAGGATGAAGATGAAAATGAAGATTATGAAAAAGAGGATACTAATAAAAATAATTCTCCAAATAATGATGATAAATGCAAAAAAAAAAAAAATAATGCTAAAAATAAAAAATTTTTTACTGAAAGCATAAAAATGATAAGAGAATTGCAAAATTCTAACTATGTATTCTCTAATAACTCCGAAAAAAATAATTTAATTTTATTTGATACAAGAAATAATGAAACACAAGAAGAGAGAAGAAAAGCTCCTTCCAACGTTTGTTTTAGTGAAAAACAAAAAAAAAAGAAGCAGGGAGAAAATTATGTAAATGAAAAAGCAGAAGAACATAACAAATTAGAATTAATCTTGTATGAAAAAAAAAATAACGATGATGATTATTATTATGCAAAAGATATTAATATTTCTTCTAGTGAAGAAGAGAAAGATACAAGTTTCACAAATTTTTACAAGGAATTTGGGATAGAAAATGATAAAGAAGAAAATAATAATATATATGAAAATTCTATAGATGAAGAAAATGTTAATAATTCTATTTTTAAAGAAGAGAAGAAGGAAGAATTAGAAAAAAGTGATGAAATAAAAAAAAAAGAAATTCTTTATGACCATGAAATTGCAGAAATATTAGCTTTTGATAATAAAATAAGTATAGATAGTTTTATATACGATTTTACATATATAAATAAAAAAAATAATTGTTTATATTTTAAGGGTGATATTATTTCTATTATAAAAAAAGAAAAAATCAATTTATCTAAAACATCTATGTCAGAAGAGGAAATAAAAATTTATATTACTAAAAATCTATTAAGTACAGAGGCAGTTTATGATAATGAGAAAAACTATTATAGTCATATTAATGAAGGTAATTATTATCTTGATAATATAGACAGTTTTAAATGTGTTCAAGATGATGTTTTTATTTTTAATAATTTAACAATATCCCTGTCTGACTTAACTAATGATAATTTGGTAGAAAATTTTTTCATTAGATATAGCAGCTTGTATAATATGTATTTTAAAAATTTTGACAAAAGGAGAAAAAAGGAAGAAATAGAAGATGAAAATGAAAATAATGAAAATGATGAAAATGATGAAAATGATGATTATAGTGATAATGATGATAATGAAAATGAAAGTAATGAAGCTGATGATAATAGTGATAATGATGATAATGAAAATGAAAATAATATTGAAAATGAAGATGCAGATAAAAGTGATGAAAAGAAAGAAGAAAATGAAATTGATATCAATAACTTGAAAAAAATGAAAGAACAGAAATTATTAATGAAAGAAAAATATATAGAAACTGAATATGTAGGAGTTTTAAATAATGCTTATGGGTCTTCTGTTAATATAGGGGAATATGTTAGGATTCAAATAACTATTGAAAAAAAAAAATTGATTGTATTAAAAAATAATTTGATTATATGTGGTGGATTGCAAAGTTATGAAGAAAAGGATTCTTATATTCATTGTCGAATAAAAAAACATAGATGGTTTCCTAAAGTTTTAAGATCAAATGATCCTTTAATTTTTTCAGTTGGATGGAGAAGATTTCAAAGTATTCCAATTTATTCAATTAATGAAAGAAATAATGTGAGAATAAGATATTTAAAATATACAACAGAACATATGCACTGCAATAGTACTTTTTATGGACCATTATCAGCAGTTAATAGTGGTATTCTAGCTTTGTATAATTATAAAAAAGTACCTTTTTTCCGTATATGCATTAATGGTGTTATTATAGAGACTAATAATAATTTCAATATTATGAAAAAACTAAAATTAATTGGGGAACCATACAAAATTTTTAAGAATACAGCTTTTATTAAAAATATGTTCAATTCAGATTTAGAAGTTTGCAAATTTATTAATTGCCCTGTGGTTACACCAAGTGGAATTAAAGGATTAATAAAAAATAAATTAAATAGTAACGGTGATTTTAGATGTACCTTTGCAGATAAAATTAGAATGAGTGATATCGTTATTTTAAAATTATTTGTTAATGTAAAAATTAAAAAATACTTCACTTATGATATAGAAAATAAATTAAGATCTATCAATGAACTGAGATATATTTACAACATTTACGTCAATCATAATAGTAATTATAGAAAGATTCCATTTAGACATTTTTACCATAGCAAAATTCATATAAGACCAAAATTATTAAAAGAATTACCATATAGATCAAAACCTAAATTATTCAAAAAAATTGATGATTCTAATGAATTAAAAAAAAAACAGGAGGAGAGTGATCATATAAATTTTAAATCATTAGAAAATCCCAAGTTAGCAGCAAGATGGTATCAAATGTTACATACTATTAAAAAAAATATTATTGACAAAAAGAAGGAAAAATCTAAATTAAGTTATCACAAAAAATTAAAAGAAAAGTTAAAAGTTGAAGAAGCAAAGCAAAATGTTGTTAAGGAAAGGAAAAAATTGTCATTTAAAAAAGGGAGAAAAAATTAAGATATTTATATATATTTTTAATATTTAATTTCTTAATTTTCTCAAATTATCAAGTTTTTTATTCTTTTTTTTAAATAATTATAATATTTTCTTTTCTTGTTAATATCTATAATTGTTTTTTCTCTAATTCATTTTCAATTATTAGATATTTTTTCTTTCTTTATACAATTTCTTCTTATACTTTATATAAATTTTTTTTTTTTTTCTTTTATTTATTATCCATTCCTTTTATAAATTATGTACATTTATTTTCATTTTTTTTGTAATCACGTTTGCTAAATATTTATATAATTATTTCTTTTAAATAAATTTCCTTTTCATTTTGTATTGATATAAATTTAAGTTAATAAAACATATTTATATTATATTTTCGTTTTAAATAATGTTTATGTTGTTTATCAAAATAAAAAAAACAAAAATACAATATTAGCTAAAATATTTTAAAAGAAAACTTTTTAATATATTACTGAAAAAAAAAAAAATAAAATAAAAAATAAAAATATAAAATAGCACATCTAATTTTGTTAAAAAGTTAAAAGGTATTATTAATAAAAACAATTATCTTATTCTTTTCTTTTATTTTCTTATTTTTGTAATTAAAATAAAAAAAAAAAAAAAAAATAGAAAGGTAAACTGTTGCATACTCTTGAAAAAAAAAATCAAAATATGGCTATGATATTTTTTTTTAAAATTTTTATTTGTGTGTGCTTATAATGTGTGTAAGCACATTGACGTTATTCTATATTCCTTTTTATTCATTAGTTCTTTTTTTTCATTTAAATTTATAATTTTAGAAATAAATAATTTACATTTTTTCTATCCTTAAAGAGGTTAATAGCTATGTACTTGCTTTTTTAGAATATATATTTAAACATACAATTTATAGTGACTTATTTTCCGTTATATTGTTTTTTATACATTTTTTTTAATTCTCATGATAATTCAAAAAATGAAAATTGTAAATGCTTTTTTTTTTTTTTTAAAATTCATTCTTTTTTTTTTATTTTTTTACAGTGATAAAAAAAAATATTTAATTCATTATTTTATTAAAGAGAAAAAAAAATAATTTTAAAATGAATGCATAAACATGTATGCATATATTTATTAGAAAAAAAAAAATGTTTTATGTAAAATATACTTTTTTTTTTTTTACTTTTTTCTAAAATGCATATTTAATATTTTTTAATGAAATTGTGTTTCTCTACTTTTAATATTTTAAGTATTTTTTTTTTTTTTTTTTTGT